GATCTCGAACAGCTTGGTTGGCCTTCTTCGCATGTTTCGTAATGCGGCGCCCTTGGTCGTCTTATTCACGGCCACGCTTCGAACCATATCTGTTTCTTTGTTGATTGACCATGTCCGCGTCATGCGTTCGGTCAAGCTGTTCGCGTGGAATATCCGCGTAATCGACGGATGCTGGACACCACCCTGATCTGGTGGCCTTTGCTGCGAGAGTACCAGCTAACCGAGCAAGAATGGGACTACCTATTGCCGGTGGTCCAAGCCAACCTCAACCAAACACCGGCAGCATCCCTGGCGAGCAAGTCGCCGATGGAACTGTTCACGGCTTTAAACCCGGCGACTCCCCTGGATGTCGTCGTGGTGGGCATGAACAAGGAACTCCGAGAGAGCGACTGGACGGTCAAGGACATCCCCAAAAACTTGGACAAACTGCGTGCTAGCCTGCAAGTCATGCACAAAGAAGTCCTAGACAAGAATGCGATGCGCGCGGCGAAAGCGACGAAAGCGACCGAGAAATACGAACAATGCAATGTCAGCGAGGGCGACTATGTGCTCTGGTCCCGCGTCGACGAACGCTATCACCCCAAGCTGCTCGTAACCTGGACGGGCCCCTACCGAGTCAGGAAATGGGCGAATTTTCCATCGTTTTGGAGCACTTGGTGACCCACGAACTGCGGGAAGCTCACGCATCAAGAGTCAAGCTCTACGCCGAAGACAGCTTTGAAGTGACCGAAGAAATCCTAGAACACGTTTCCGAGCAAGGGATCATGCTGAAGGTCAAGTCCATCGGGGGACACAAGTTTGTCCCAGATGTGAAAGACTTCATGCTGGAAGTGCTTTGGGTAGATTTTGAAGACATCTAAACCTCATGGGAACCGCTGCAGAAGCTCATGCATGAATGCGCGGCCGTGGTGAAGAACTACATTGAAGGCGTGAAGACAGCAAGCGAAGGCGGTGCGTTGCGCAAGGCGATGAAGCGAGCGAGGGCGAAGAATTAGCGAGGCCCATGTGTGTCCTGCGGGACATAGCTTGGGGTGTGTGTTATGGTGGGCGACTTAACCCAAGTCCCGCCATGACACAGGTGGTCCTCAACGGAGACCACCGGGTGCCGGCGCTTGGCGAACCGACACGAAAGGCATAGTATTACTAGTAGTATTAGTAGTAGTACTAGGACGAACGAAACATAACACCTGTCCCAGCCAACTGCCGGGAAGTGATGCAAAGTTAAAAACGTTAATCCTGTATACCACCACCAACTCGTCCATCCCATAACGATACCTTTGGAATCATGTGTGCGTTGTGGGCATTGTGTCGACGACTGCACCTCTACAAGGTAGTGCTTTTCAGGATTGCTTCCCTAACGTTACACTGTCGTCACACAGGGCCATTTTGCTTCCGGCTCCAGAAATTTAGAGAAATGATAGAGCTTCCTATATCATTTCTCTGTAGCTATCCTCGTAATACGATTAGTCGTTGACTGTGAATAAGACAATTGACACCGCTGTAATCACTTTACTAGTATAGCCAAACTGGTCTTCCCATTGTGCTCACGAAACACGCGTTGTGGAAACCCCATAGTTGCTTTCTCGACACGTCTACGGAATACTATTCGGATTGTTGATGTGATACTGAATGTGAGGGTGCTCAACAAGGGTGGTGACCAAAACGATTACGTAGCAACACCTTCGGTGTTGTTTCGATGGAATAGCTCGTTTTTTTAGGTACATTATCAGCATTAATCAGACCCGATGGACGGCCATATTATGCCCTCGCCAGAATAATTCCTTCATGTGGATGTATATCCAATACCCATGCTGACATTTGATTACTATACCTACGACGTAGGTTTCTTGAGGTACTACGCATTCTTAACGTTAGTACATTATCAGCATTAATCATAATCAGAATCGATGGACGGCCATATTATGCCCACGCCAGCTGACCTAATACATAGTCCGTATTTCCCAACGTGGTACGCAAGGCAAGTCACGTACTACACCCGACAGTACGTACACACAACATATGACCTGATTGATACATATTTCCCAGCGTGTTACGCAAGGCAAGTCACGTGCTACAGCAAGCATTGGTCTCATTTTGCAATTTCCATTGACCCAACAACATCATGGTTCAGTACCGTTTTATGGCCCTCGCCGCCACTGCCGCCACCGCCGTCACGGCCAAGATCTCGGTCCAAGTGCATCGCAACTTGGAAGTCGCCAAGCAGTCGAACGTCGTGGTCAAATTTCACTGTGACGAGGCCCTCGCCACCCACCGCCGCCAACTCAAGGGCGGCGCGTCTCGCACCGAAACCATCGAGTCGCTGGTTGATTCCTTGAAGGAGCACACCACCACGTCTCAGGCGTCAGTCAAGTCGCTCCTGGCCAACCAAGTTGAATCGACGGCTGTGGAATTGGCCACGACATGGATTGATTGTTCCATGTACATCGACAACGCCCCCGACGACCTCGTCCAGAAGATCGCGGCGTTGCCGGAAGTCGAATCTGTTTACGAGCCAGTTGATATGGAACTCGGTGAAACCAAAAGCGATGACAAACCAGCCAGTGCTGTCAATGAGGTCATCCAATGGGGGGTCAGGAAGATCCAAGCGCCGGCGCTGTGGGCCAATGGCATCGAGGGCGACGGCATTGTCGTGGCCAACATCGACACCGGTGTTCACTATACCCATGAGTCGTTGGAGTCGAACTGGCGAAGAGAATACGGTTGGTTCGACCCGTACAACAAGACGAACCAGCTGCCCGACGACCCGGCGGGCCACGGCACTCACGTCATGGGCATCATGGTGGGAACGAAAGGTATTGGTGTCGCCCCCAAGGCCAAGTGGATTGCGTGCAAAGGGTGCAAGGGCACGTGCAATCAACGCATGGTCGTGCAATGCGCTCAATTCCTGCTTTGTCCCCACGACAAAGACGGCAACAACTGCGACTCAACCAAGGCCCCTCATGTGATCAACGGCAGCTTTGGCAAGTACCGCAGGAACTTTTGGTTGGAAGAGATGATTACAAAGTGGAGAGAAGTGGGAATCATTCCAGTGTTTGGGAACGGCAACAACGGCCGTGAAGGCTGTGGGTTTCCAATTTATCCTGGCATGTCACCTCAAGTGATTGCTGTCGGCTCCACTGACTCCAGCGATTTTTTGGATATCGATTCAAGTTTGGGACCTTCCGTGACGAAGCGTAGCAAACCCGACATTTCTGCTCCTGGTGTCGACATCCATTCCGCAGTACACTCCAGTGACGATGGTTATTTGTTGGGCTCTGGTTCGAGCATGGCCGCGCCTCATGTTTCTGGAGCCATCGCCTTGTACTTGTCTGCCAACAAAAACGCCACGTACGACCAAGTGTACAAGGACCTGACCAAGAATGTGGACACGGACAAGTTAACTCCGCCCAACAAGACCTGCGGTGGCATTACCAACACGCAATATCCCAACAACCTCTTTGGCCACGGCCGCTTGAACATCTTCAAGGCCGTGGCCGCCAGCATCCCCGGCCTGACTCTTCCCCCACCATCCCCGAAGGACTCCATGTCCGCCCAAGTCCTCAACCCGACCAATGAGCTAACCACGTGTGGCATCTTGGAAGACAACACGCACTACGTTGGCGGCGACTTCGCTGCGACCTATCAGGCGACTGCTGAATCCTGCTGCGCTGAATGTAAAAAGGCACCGGGATGCAAACTGTTTGTGTGGTACAGCCGCGACGGTGGCATGTGCCGGCTCAAAAAGACCCAAGGCCCAAAGGTGGATGTGAAGGGAGCCAAGGCTGGCGTGCTACCAGCCCCAGCCTTGGTACGACCGCCGTTGTTTTAGACCAGCTTTCAACATCGTCAACAAACTCACCGACAATAGTTTGACATTAACAAACAAACCCAACTTGATAATTCTCAATAGAGAGGTTTCGCAACTCATCTTTACATTACCCTCATCATCACATTATCGACAAATGTCGTTTTCAGGACAATGATAATGACAAAATAATTTATGGGAGGTCATGAATGTGGTCATAGCTGCTTCAGTTTCATTGCGGCAAGCAACTTTATGTGTTGACGTAAAATCAGTTGTTTCAAACAACTTGTTTTACGAAAGTACCTGTAAAACCAACCACCTTCAACCAACCAATAGACCTCCTGACGAAAGATTAAATCCTCTGGAAATGAATATCTATCGCAGGAATTTGCACATGGATATTGGAGCATTAATAATCATTTGGCATGGATCGATTATACATGCAGAGTACAAACAATTTGGCAGAGCGTAAATCAACGACAAGTAATTGGATGAACTAATTTGGTGGTGATCATTTAGCAACTACTCTATACTAATGGAAATCACTCGATCCTTTCCGAATTCAACCTGTCCATTTCGAATATCAGCAGTAGCGGCTCAATGACCCGCCGGGGTAGTCAGCAACCTCGGCGAAGCAGCCTCCAGGGAACCCAACCTGACCCTCCAGCCACACGCAATGCAAGACCCGCAAACACTCCCAGCCAAGCACCACTAAACTCTCGAAGCATGAGCCAAGGAATATCTCTCTTGGCCTGCCTAGAAGAACAGCGTAAAGCAAAACGAGCTCGGTTCCCTACCGCACGCGTTGAGGGCCCAGACATTGACGAGGATTCCAACTCACCTGTCTACGATGCGTACCTACAAACACAAGGAGCCGAAGGCATAATGACACTCACCAACTTCTCGCCGTCAGAGTTTAACCTACTCTGGGCAGACGTTCGCCAGCACATCTTCAGGCACTGGAATGTGGGCTCCGGTCGCAAGTGTGCAGTGTGCGCTCGAGACCTATTGCTCATGATGCTTGCATCACTCAAACACTGCGGTACCTGGGATATCGTTGGTCAAACGTTTCGCACAACTGTGGCAACATTCGAAAAGCGCGTCATGAGCTTCATAGAGGTCATGCATCCCTACCTTCTGCGCAAGTATGTTCATGGAATGGCATCCAAGTGGTCGATGCATGAGCTTGCCGCCAACGGAACAAGGTTCGAGCACTACCCATATGCACGCTACGCCACCGATGTTACTTTCCAGCAGACAAACGTACCTGTCGGTTCGTACGCCGAAAAGAATCTGTACTACAGCGGCAAGCATCATCTTTACGGGCACAAAGTTGAGGTGTCAATCCTTCCAAATGGCTTGGCGATCAATTGCACGTCGTACCACAAGGGAAGTGTCTCGGACAAGGCGATCTTTGACGACAATCTCGACTTTCACTTTCACCGCACCAACCTCACCAAGCACCCAAGCGAAATGGAGATGACGGACACTGGCGGTCGTGTCGAGCAATGGGCAGTCCTGGTGGACAAAGGCTACCAAGGAATTCAG